ATGAGGGGCTGAGGCAACAGCCCTGGCGTGTGCCTCTAAATAGTTTGAAGCTTCCCCCAATGTGGCCATTAATTTTAATCCTTGCAGTGGGCTCTTTGTATAATGATTGAATACAGCTTATAATTTGTTTATTAAACCCCAATCTCTCTAATACTTTATATAGAAACGGCCATGAGACCCTATCAAAGGCCTTTTCGGCATCCAGACTGATCAAAACTGCTGATAATTGCTGTCTATTTATTTGATCAATAATATGGAGAGTTCGTCTTATATTATCTTGTGTTTGTCTTCCCATAATAAAACCTGATTGGTCCTCGTCTATCAAGTCAGGTAACAGATGTTCAAGTCTTTGTGATAGAATGGAGGTAAATAATTTATAGTCTACATTTAGCACAGAGACTGCCGGTAAGATTGACAAAGTGTCTTGTTTTTACCTTCTTTTCCTATAACAGAGATTACTGCCTCTTTCCAAGATGGAGGGGTGATGGCGTATTGCAGCGTAAAGTTGAATTAATTTAACATTACTGTGGAAAGATCTTCCTTGAAGATTCTATACCACTCGTTGGGAAAGCCGTCTGCCCCTGGGCTCTTGTTTGGTTTTAATTTGCCAATTGCGTTGTTTAGTTCCTTTTTTGTTATGGGTGCGGTTAAGTTACCGTTTTTACAGGTAACTTAAAAACACAGGAAGCGGCACATCTCTGAAGGACCGGGTGACCCAGAGAGCATCTATAATTAGTCATGTATCATTAATTAGGGATCAAAAGTAATCACAATCAAAGCTTCACAGACCAAATGTTCTCACTCAAGACCACAGTTTCAGCATTTAACTACAATTTGAGTGTCAACTAATTAAAGGAAAGCTGTTTTAGTTTCCTATGCGCACATTATTTTAAGTTACCTTAGACTAGATAACCTAAGCCTATAAATCTAATAAGGCCAAATTCATCTACTCTCACTCCCACCTGGAGGCCTCCTAAATGTGACCGCTCCTCATGGATAAACCATCTATTCCACTTTACCAATCATTCAGTCACAGTAGGGGACATCACAGGACAGGTTGGGCCGTTCTCCACCGGAAAACGCTACCCTCTCTAAAAGGTAGTAAAAACTGGGGTGACCCCGGGGAAATCCCACTCTCGGCCAATCTGAGCAAGTAAACCCTGTTTTGAATCTGATAATTATCATTACCAACTACTTAAAGAACCTGTAAGGTTCAGAGTCTTCCTACATCAAAGAAAAAGTGGCATAAAACGTGATCTTGGTGGGTCTGGAGCAAAATGTTTCCATGATTTTCATCAAAACAAAATCAAAATAAATCAAAACATATAATTCACAATTAGGTTAAATAAAGAATTATCCTGGTCCGAGTTAAAAACAAATGATGAATATCACTGATGATAATGGATTCTTTCAGTGTCTCTATCACACATCAATCAAATTAATCAATCAGAGTCTCGTATGGCCTCCTCCACGGCCACTTTGGTCTACATGCAGCCCAATGGCAGAGAGATGCTGATTCCATGTGGTGGTTCTCATGGACTGTTCTCATCACAGTTCATCAATCCTTTCCTCCGGGATCCTTCGACACACAGAGAGTGCAGTCAGTGTTCTTATCACGATAAACAATGTCTTCAATGAGCAATTCTTTATTCACTCAAAATCTCAGTGCAGTCACAACCAGATATTCTTATCCACAATTACCTTCCCTTTATCCCTTAAATCCCCATTAAATTGACTACATTTAAATTAATTATCCATGGACTCTGTGTTTTTTCAGCAGATTATTTCAGTGTCTATTAAAAAAAATAAAATCAATAAAAATTAAAAATAAGAAATCCCCAAAAACATTAAACATTAAACATAACCTACCTTTCAATGCCTGGCAGTTGAAAGTTATTTATACCTGTATGTATTCAGCCTGAACATCCTATGGATGTTTCAGCTCATTATTTTGTTCATATAAGCTCAAAATCACTGCAACTAATATAAGCTCATTCAAGGAACCTGTAAATATTTAGAAAACATTTAACCCTTTTTTACACATTGTAACACTCAATTCATGGATTAAATAAATGAATCTTGAAACTATTTCTACATCATAGCAGATTAAGTTTTAGTTTCGTCCAAACTTGTAACTGCATTTTAGTCTACTGCTATACCCTCCCCATTGAAAATGATGAAAAGTTCTTTAATCTCTAAGAAAAACCCAGCTTGGCGCAGATTACCCCTCTTTAAAAACTCCCCCATCAGACTTTGTATCCGTAAATGTTAGTGCATGAAAGAAAACCTCATTCCCATGTGGACCCTTGTGTGTTCTTCGAGTCATTAACCGTGTGTGGGCGTGTCGTTACGTGACAGTATGTGTGTGTGTGTCTATGTGAGTGGATCTATATATGGGAAACTGGTCAGGAGCCATCCCGCTACTGGTTTGGAAGAAAAAGTGTTTCTTGGAGCAGTGATCCTCTCCAACATGCAAAAAAGTTCGATGTTCGGACAAGTCCATCAGGTTACCCTCTGTTACCACAGCAGCTTTGAACCATAAGAGTCCTGGGGCCATGTGTCCCCACACCCCCTGAAGGATAAGTCTTTACCTGTATCATCAGCAGTATCACATAGAGGTAGAAGGAAACAGAGCGTCAAAGGTTAATAATTTTTTATTGTGAATAAGAAATCTGGTGTGTCAGTTCACTTATCTTTTTTCATCCGTCTCGTCCGATGATCCCATGACCTTCCATCAACCCATCACTGCCAGTGTTCTTTTCTCGTCCAAAGCAGTGGGCATCCAGTCATTTCCTTAATGTGTGCATCTCAGCAGCTGCAAACCATCCCTCCTTCTGAAGTTTAGGAGCAAAGTTAGTCTCTGTGCCCCCTGTAGGTTAATCCATCCTGCGACTCAAGAAAGAAAGTGTCCAATGTCTCTCCAAACAAAAAAGATCCATTGTTCATTTTGAAACATTTCCATCCGTAGTGTAGTCAAAATTATTCAAAAAAAATTAATATGCGTGCCACGTCTTTTTTTTCATTTTTTTTTTCATAAAGGCTGAGATGTTAGTAAACAAACAGAAAACAAACAAACATACAGACACAAACAACGAGAAACATGTAAGACAACAAAAAAAAAAACCCAGTGGTGCCTCCGACTCCTCCAGATAGTTGTTGGTTCATCTTGTCATTCGTTAAATGCCTCTGTCAGCATGACTGCTCTTAATGTTCCACCCCAACAAAAGTCTGTGAGCTTCAAACCACCACATCAATCTGTACCTCATAGCTCATATCAGAACCAGAGAGGAATTAAAACAAACTCAGAGCTCACCAGAATGGCCTTCAACCGGGAACAAAACATGGAGCCACAATCTCTACACCCTGTCTCTGGCATGCTGCGACCTTACACCATCTCTCTCATGTCCTAATCCATGGTTCCGATCCAGTCCAGTTACTAACCAAGTCAGTCCAGTCAGTTCGAACCTATTCAAATCCTCCTATCAAACATTTCAACTATCTGAACCCCCCTCTCTCTCTTGCTCTAGTCACTCTCAGCCAAGTTGTCCCTTTCACATGCCAGAACTTCTGCAGCTGTTGGGAAAATAAGGGTTAATGCACATCTTAAACAAAACACAATGAAGGATGAGACTTTTGTCAGCCTGTCCTGGAAGAAAAACGTTAACATTTAAGGATTGTTACAAACACAGCCTGAAAAAGAAAAAAGAACATGTTTAAGCAAAACGATCTCCTGATCCTCCTTAAATGGGCCTCTGAATAATCCTGCCTGCTCCCTGACAGCCGCACTGTCACTCTCTACAAGCAGGGCAAAAGTAAATGACCCCTCTGGTTTGTTACCAGGAAAAAGCAATCAAAATGTACATCAATTAGTCAATAGTTAATCACTTCATTCACAGAAATTTGTAAAGGTAGTAGAATCTAACACTTCATGCAAAGAAGGTAAGGCCCAGATGAACAGTGAAAAGTGTTAGTAATGATTAGAGATTCAAATTAATCAGTGTGTGCTTAGGCAGTTTCCAAGCGGCATTATACACAGATACAAATAATTATGGATAAAAACTGAAGGCTGAAAAAACCCAGGGTCAGGTCACACCGAAATCGTTCTTAACTCTCCAGCCTTGTTTATAAAAGTTGACCCCGCTAATCTGCTGAGCTCCTGCAGGTATCTTGGCCATATGCTGTGTCCAGTTCCAGCTCGAAGTGTGATTTATCCTGTCCCTAATCAATCTCTAATAAAATCCTAATGAGAGAAAAATGAAACTAATCAATCTCTAATGCAATTCTAATGATTGAAAATGAAACCACCTTTAAATTAAAATCATGTAATGCCCTCGTCTGAGATTTTAGTTTCCCAAAAAGTAAAAACACCCATTCTGCTTCTTTCTGGATAATTACTTATATATTTAATTATTTTTCTAATCTATAATCTATTAATCTACAGTATCTCAGCTGCACTCCACACTCAAAAATTACCTCACACCTTACAACAGCAACCTGCTCTGGTCTTGTCACGGCTTCTCATAGGTGGGGCCCCTAAGCAACATGTTTTATATGATTACCCTTCTGTTATGCCCCCAGTGCTCCTTCTCAATCCTGTAAAAATGCAAATCATGTTAATGTCACATCAAAAAATATTCTTAATCATGTCCAACTTCACCACACACATTCTACCTCACATGCATTCCACATTTAGGACAGACAGACAGACATTGGCCACATAAAGTTTGTTTAATCCATCAGTATCAATTTTGATTTTATCTTCTTAGAGGAATTTTCCCAATTTAAACAAAAATCATAATCTTTTCACCAGTCTGGTCTTAAGACCTCTGCACCAATGCTTTTCAGCCTCATGTTAGGATTCTTGTTAAACTATATGTGCACATTTTTGGAAACCCAAGATTTATTTGCTCACGTTAGACACCAAAATAAGTTTTCACACCCAATGATTTTTAATTCTAAGCGTCCCCCAAAAATGACATGTTCTGAAAAAGTGGTATGTGTTGTTTTTTTTTCTTCTGAAAATCCCTTTATTTGTGTAGTTTTTTGAGAGGTGAGCACATAAAGATTCAGGGTGCTGTATCTGGCCCCCGTATCAACCATAAAAGGACAGTTACTGCCGTCAATCAAAATATCTATCACTGCTGATGGAAATTTCAAAAAAAAAAAAAACTACCTTCATAACTACACAACTAGTGGGATCCCAGCCTCCCTAGTATTGCTGGGGGTGGGGCGGCTTGCGGCACTGGCCTCTCTGTCCCTCTCTCAGTTCACTCCTCTGGGACTGCGAACGGTGTGTAGGATAACCGTTTTGACACCACTTTGCTCTATGTCCCATTCGTCCGCAGACCCAGCAAGTGATATACCTGTCGTTTTGATCGTATCCTCTGCCCCTCTCTCTGCCACGTACTCCAGCAAACGCTGCTGCCTGTGCGTATTGGTACATCTGGTAGTCCTCCTCCGCGTGCATGCTGGCAAGAGTCACACATTCAGGGTTAGTTTTATTTGTCTGGGTATTGTTGTTCTGTGATTTTTTTGCTTTATTTCCTTTTTTCCGTTCCTTTATAAGAATACAGCCTGTTTCATTTGGGTAGGTAGCTCTTAGGGCTGCCCAAAATTGGTCCAACACTGGGGCTGCTTTTTTAGGATCTGGAAGTTTGTATCTAAACAAGGCACTATCAGTAGAAGTTAGGGGGTTGTAGCTGACCGTCTGTACTCTAGCTGCATCGTTATATATCTGAACTAATGGCATATGGACTACCATCTCCCTGTCACTTCTTTTTTTTCTCCTTACTCAGGTTATATTTGCTTCCAGCGGGGCTGTGAGTAGGCAAGCTCGTTCTGTGTTATTTTTATGGCATCCTTGACTAGTTCCACAGCTCTATCAATCCTGTCATATATCATCAAAAGGCACTGATCCTCTGTGTGCGGTTGTCCCATGTTCGTAGCTCCCTCCTGTCCCCCATAGCAAAACTGTTCCTCATGTTTAAACACCCCTTGTCTGTCCGTTACTTTATTTAACTGCATCTGTTTTTCTGCCAGCTGTTGATCCATCTCCTGCAGTTGTAGTTGCAATTCTAATCTTCTCCTTTCCATTTGTATCATATCTTCCTCATTGCTATCCGTATGTGGCTTCCTCTGCTCATCCCTCCCTCTTAGACTGTCAGCTGCCCCTAGACTGTGCCCTTCATGTGCTGTGCTTATTCTATACATTGTTGACACTCGCTGAAATGCCTTATTTACCGCCTCCTTTATTAAATCTTGCATCTGAAACTCCTGTCGTACCTCTTCTCCCAATTCTTCCTCTGTAGGCCTTATTTCACTATTTATCTGACCTTCACGCAACTCCATAACAGGCATCTGCACACATGGGTTTGATGGAAACATTGCATCACCAGCCTTACTAAAGATTTCTCTGACACCTTGGTGTGGACTGGGATCCATAATAGGCTCTGTTTCTGCAATATTAGATGTATTCATGGGAGGTTTTTCTTACCCTCTGAAGTGTCGAGTGCCTGCTCACCTCCCTGAGCCCCGTTTTGCTCCACCTGTTCCTGTTCAGAATCCTTGTCAGAAAAATAGTTACTAAAATTGAACTTGGTTTGTCTAATCAGATCCAAAAGTTTTGTTTCTTCCTTCTGGTGCTAACGAAGTATTTCTGGATTCAATTTTCTAGTCCACATGCATCAATTATTCACACCTTCCGTTCACACAGTGTATAAAATTAGACCTCGACGTCTTACGTGAGATCCCTCCGGGCTTTAAACTTTTTACCTATAAACCTCAGTGAGCCGCTGTTCTGCTAAGGAAGTGCGTCCATCAAAGAAATACGTCCGTCAGTGAAAAGGAAAAAAAGAAAAGAAAAAAAAATGAAAAGAAATTTAGAGAAAAGAAAAAAGATTTATATATAGTTCCGCCTAGTTCACTCCACCAACTCTGGAATTAGACAAACAAGTTGCCTAATTCGGGCTTCGGCCTAATATGTTTTATGGGGATTATTTTATCGTCTCTCTCTTTCCTTTTATAAGAGAAGAGAAGGAAAGAGAAAAAGCCCCCAAAGGTCCGTTTCACCCTGACCCCCGCTCTTATTTCCAATCTCGGTTTTTCGTAAATGTCCTTATGGGAGGCATACTGGCAAACTCTAGCCGGCTATGTGACTGGTATCTGTCTGTGCGTCTGTTTTCAGAAGTGCATCTTTCGTGTCTGCAGGCAGACCGGGAATAAAATCACCGTCCCTTTCTGCATGCAGAAACCGTTGGGCTCTCCAACCAACTTATCCTAGTGAGCAGTATAATTTTTGAAAGGTGTTTGCGCAGTCGCCTTCAGTCGGACTTTCAACCGCTACCCACAGCAGAACGCACGACTTTCTTCCTCTCTCTCTCTCCTTTTTTTATTTCTTTTTTTTTTTTGTGTACACGTTCGCAATGTAAAAAAAAAAACAACAAAAACAACAAAACAAAAACCGCAAAAACAAAAACTAAAATCACTCTGAGCAATTTCTCTGTCCTCTTTTGCATAAAAAGCTTCAGCTCACTTCAGAAAATCACAACACAGCCAAAGTGTTTTAACCGTAAAAACACTGGAGATATTTTGTAATAAGGAATCTCCTCACCTTATCAGTTGTTTCGGCCGCAGGCTGTGGAGCTTTTTCCATCGGTGGCTCTGTTGTTTTGCTTCCAGGCCACGGGCGGAAACACCAATTTGTTAAAGTGAGGAGGATTTGTCCCCTTGGAAGTAAAGGCTGTAGCGCCCCGGGGGCCTCCTCACCGGTTCTTTTCCTGGGAGCAAGTTAGTTACTACTCTTAACTCAAACTCGGTAAAACCATATAAAAAAGGACTATAAAAACAGGAGTAAAAAGTAACAGAGTTTATTCCAGATCAGGTCGTTACAGGACAGAGAAAAATGCTTCGAGCTATGCACAGCTGTGGTCTCAAAAATCACGTCCGCAAGCGTCCGGCAAAGTTTGAGCCCCGAACAACGTCATCTCCTGCTTCTTATACCTTCTTTTTTTTTTTTTTTCAATATATTTTTATTCAAAAAAGTACAAAGTAAGGTACATAAAAATACAGTAACATGAATTGAATTTGTTTTATCTTTTAACAACCAAACACCACCCACCCACCCACCCACATTCAACGAGAAAAAAAAAAAAAAAAAAAAAAAAAGTCAGTAATACAACAATTGGGCATCATCAATTATATTATATATATACATACGTATACACATATATACATACCTGCACATATACACACACACATCTACATCCCAGGGCTCCATAGGCTTATGGAGGTAACTCTATATTTTTAAGATTTTTAAAGTACTCCATCACGGGGTCCCACACCCTTTGGAATTGTCTTGTGGAGCCTCTAATAAAGTATTTAATTTTTTCTAATTTCAAGAGAAACATTAAATCAGTGAGCCAGACCGAGACTTTAGGTGGTTCAGATGATTTCCAGAGTAAAACTATACGTCTACGAGCTACCAAGGAAGCAAAAGCAAACGCATTCATTTGATCAGTGGATAGCATGTGCTCCTCAAACAATACTCCAAAGATGGCCATTCCTGCAAACGGTTTGATGTTGGTATTAAATGCTTCATTCAGTGTTTTACAGATGGATGACCAAAATTCGGTTAATTTCGGGCAATTCCAAAACATATGGGTCATATTTGCTGGAGCAGAATGACACCGCTCAAACCTGTCATCAATGTCCTTATAAATTCTTGAAAGTTTAGATTTGGTATAGTAAGTTCTATGGAGGATTTTTAACTGTATAAGGCTAAGCCGTGCGCAGGACGATGTTCCGTTGACTCTTTTCAGAGCACGTTCCCAGAAATGTTCAGAAATAACAGAGCCAAGTTCTTCAGACCATGCAATTCTAAGCTCATCTAGTGTTGTTTCCCGAAGAGATGTTATGATATTTGAGATGTTTGCAATGTGCCTTCTGAGACACAAAGGGTTACGCAAAATCCTCTCAAGCCCCGAGTCCGCCGGAGTGGCCGGAAATGCTGGACTTTGACTTTGAATAAAATGACGGACCTGGAAATATCTGAAAAGATCAGTTTTTTGTAAATGGAATTTGGCCGAAAGGTCAGTGAAGTTGGCAAAAACACCATCTATATAAAAATGGTCACAAGTTTCAGAACCATTTCTCCTCCATTGAGCGAAGGTGTGATCCATCCTGGCAGCCGGGAAAAGGTGATTGTTACAAATAGGGCTATATATAGAAAATTCTTTTAGATTAAAATGTTGTCTGAATTGTATCCATATCCTAAGAGAGATACTACAGGATTATGGGTGAATTTAGAGGGTGAAAGTGGTAATCCTGTAGTGACCAAAGCAGAGAGAGAGGAAGAGGTGCAGGAATTTGCTTCAATCCTACACCAATCCAGCTGCGGGTTTTGATACCAATATATAATTTTTTGGATATTAGATGCCCAGTAATAGTTTCTCATATTAGGTAAAGCCAGACCACCTTTATCTCTGGGCTTTTCTAGAAACTCTCTGCGAACTCTAGCATTTTTATTTGCCCAGAGAAAAGAGGAGAATAATTTATTTAAAGACTGGAAAAATGACTTAGACAGAAATATTGGAAGACACTGAAACAAATACAAAAAGCGGGGTAGTACATTCATTTTTATGCAGTTAATTCTACCCGGTAGAGATAAGTAGAGACCGGACCATCTTTGAAAATCAGCCTCCAATTTAAGCAGGAGAGGTTTGAAATTCTTTCCATAGAGATCAGAGAACGTACGGGTGATGTGTATGCCTAAATATTTAAAGCCGGACTTTGATATATGAAAGGGGAACGCATTGTCTGGTAGTTGAAGGGCTAGGTAGTTAACTGGGAAGCATTCACTTTTAGAATAGTTTAATTTATAACCTGAAAAACTTCCAAAGTCATTAAGAATATTGACAATAGTGGGAATAGATGACACTGGGTCAGAAATATACAACAGTAAGTCATCAGCATATAAAGAAATTTTAAGTTCAGTATCAAACCTGCGAATACCGAGAAAATTGGGGGTTGTTCTTAATTTTATTGATAAAGGCTCGATAGCTAATGCAAATAAGAGTGGGCTTAGAGGGCACCCCTGGCGTGTGCCCCTTGAGAGAGAAAAAAAATGGGAAGATATTTTATTTGTAAGAACAGATGCTTTGGGTGATGTATATAACAGGCGTATCCAGGTTATAAAATTTAAACCAAAGCCAAATTTTTCCAGTACAGTAAACAAATAATTAAATTCCACTCGGTCAAATGCCTTTTCCGCGTCCAGAGAGGCAACTACTTCAGGAATCTCCCCAGACGCAGGGGAATAGAGGACATTTAAAAGTTTGCGAATATTTGTGAAAGGCTGACGACCCTTTATAAAACCAGTTTGGTCTGTTGAGACGATGTTGGGTACAACATTCTCTAACCTTGATGCTAGCAGTTTGGCTAAAACTTTGACATCAACATTAAGCAAAGATATAGGTCGATATGAGCCACAATCATTTGGGTCTTTGCCTGGCTTTAAAAGAAGTGAAATGGAAGCCTCTGTTAGAGTTTGTGGTAAATGGTTCTGATTAAATGAGTGATTAAACATTTCAAGTAGCAGGGGAGCAAGTTGAAGAGAAAATTTTTTATAAAACTCAACGGTATAACCGTCAGGTCCAGGTGATTTGCCATTCTGCATTTTATGAATGGAATCTATAATCTCTTGTAGCTTTGTGGTTTCTTCAAGGCTGTCTTTGACTTGTGCATCTACTTGTGGTATATTAATATTATCTAAAAAGCCAATCATTTTGGATTTATCTTGCGGGGGACAAGATGTGTACAGTTTAGAATAAAAATCCTGAAAGGTGTTGTTTATCTCTATTGGGTCAACGGTAAGGGATTGTGGAGTATTACGTATCTGAGGTATTAGACGGGACGCAGATTTACATTTAAGTTGATAGGCCAAAAGACGGCCTGCCTTATCCCCATGTTCATAATATTGTCCTTTTAACCAAAGTTGGTGTTTTTCAGTTATTTCTGTAGACAAAAGATCATATTGGGTCGTCAATGTAACCTTTTCCTTATATAAGTCGGGTGTTGGAGTAATAGAATATTGTTGGTCGATTTGTTTTAACGATACTAAGAGATCGTTTGCTCTTTGCTTTCTTTCTTTACTCCGTGAAATAGAATAAGAAATTATCTTCCCTCTTATAACTACTTTAAGTGCTTCCCACAATATAGATGGGGATATGGAATCAGATCTGTTAAAATATATGAACTCATCTATCTCTTTACCAATGAATTCACAGAAATGACTGTCTAACAGCAAAGATGTGTCTAATCTCCAAACTCTTGTTTGTGTGATATTTTGAGAGAACAAAATATCTAGGGAGACCTGCGCATGGTCAGATTCAACAATAGTATTGTATTCAATTCTCTTTGTAAAAGGGAGAAGTGTCTTGTCAATGAGGAAAAAATCGATACGACTGTATGTGTGGTGAACATGTGAGAAGTAGGAGAATTCTTTTTTGTTAGGATTAAAGAACCTCCATGGGTCAACCCAACCTGCCTTTTCAGCAAACTCACCAAGAACAAGAGACATTTTAGAGCGGGATAAGTTTCTAGGGCTAGAGCGGTCCATAGCTGGGTCCATAACCGTGTTGAAGTCCCCTGATAGAATAAGACTATGTCTATTAAGGTCTGGGAGAAGAGAAGTGAATTTGTGTATAAAGCCCACATCATCCCAGTTCGGAGCGTAAATACTAGCTAGAATTACAGGAGAGTTAAACAGCGTCCCAGATACTATCACAAATCGTCCCTGGGGGTCAGAGATAACCCGAGATGGTGTAAACAATGTTTTTTTGTGGATCAGGATGGCTGCCCCTCGTGCCTTATTGTTAAAGTTAGAGTGGAAATTCTGTCCAATCCAATTCCTCTTAAGCCTGAGTTGATCTGCTATTTTTAAATGAGTTTCCTGTAAAAATATTATTTCTGCGTTCAGCCTCTTTAAGTGAGAGAAGATCTTTGCTCTCTTGTTAGGCCCATTCATCCCTCTCACGTTCCAGGTAATGAAACGTGTTGGAGTTACACCTATATCTGCCCTAACACTATCAAGGTTGTGTGACATATGACATCTTCAAAAATAAAAAGAATGATGAACATCCCCAAGAAAAAGAAGGAAAAAAAAAAAAAAAAACACACACCCCCCCCCCCCCCCCCCCCTTCTTAAAGATAACTTTCCCTTTAACCCCAAACTTAACATATCCTATGCCTGTCCTCGGAACATGGACAGACTGCAGGTTCTCTTCTAACTCCTGAACCTTCCGATACACACTCTTCTCTTAACTAGTGAAGAGCCTAGGACCTTTTACCAGGGATGGTATATATTAGTTGAAACCATTTCGGTATAAAAAAATAAAATAAAATAAAATAAAAGTAAAGCCATACCGTTAAACATACCGTTAATGTATAATCAGTTATGTTAATTATATAGGTAAAGAATAAGAGAATATCCAAAATTCTCAAAAACAATTAAATTACCCAAAATAGACTTTGGCAAGAGTTCACATACGCGTCAGAGCGTCCTCCAAGCAGTAAGAGGGTGACCACACACCAGGTACGTACGACCCGACTGGACCGTATCAGTCCCCTTCCCCAGCCACCAGCTGATTGCAGTAAGCTCGTGCTTCTTCTGGAGTGTTAAAGTCGAGGGTTTTCCCCTTATGGAAGACTCGTAGGTTAGCTGGATATCGCAAGCGAAACTTGATCCCCTTCTCGTAGAGTGTTTGTTTAACGCCGTTAAATCCAGCGCGTTTCTTCGACAGAGCAGCGCTGTAGTCAGGGTATATTCTCAGTGTAGCGCCCTGATAGGTGCTTGTGTGCTGTCTTGCCCACTGCAGTAGCCGTTCCTTCTCCTGGTGTCTTTGAAAGCATACCACAAACGGGCGCGGAGGACGGCTAGTGTTGCTGGGTTTTGCGCCCACCCTGTGTGCTCTCTCCAGCACCGGGGCTGAGTCGAAGAGTGCGTTGCTGCGGGTGATCTCCATTAGTGCATTCGTCATAAAGTTAACAGTATTCCCCACACCTTCACTGCCTTCTGGAATGTTTATAATCCTCAGGTTGTTGCGGCGTGACCTGTTTTCCAAATCCTCAATACGATCCAAGAGTTCAGCATTTTGGCCTTTTAAAGCTTTAACGGCAGATTCGGCAGCACATATCTTCTCGAAATTATCGCCCGCGAGTGATTCTGAAGCGGTTAGGCGTTGTTGTATAGAGCCCACCGTTTCTGTCAGAGCACTCACCGAAGCTTGTAACGGCACCAGTGATTCTTGAATGAGGGTGGAGATGTCTTCTTTTAAACTTTCTCGTTGCTTGGCTAACTCTTGTACTAGCTGGGTCATAGTTAATCCATCGCCTTTGGAAGGGCTAGCGTCGGAAGCCATGGTGGCTGGCTTGCTAGCAATGGCGTTCCGCGTCGTTATCGAGGAGGATTGTTTTTGCTTGGAGGTAGCCATTAACCGGCCAAAGTCGTCCAAAACGGCAATGTGTATAAGATACGTCAATTCTGTGGTAAATATATAAGGTTTGGTCTCATAAGTTAGATATTGGGTCAGAGCTCTTCACACTTGCTGCCTACTCCTTCATGACCCAAACCGGAAGTCTCGCTTCTTATACCTTCTGAGTCTGTGTTGCATCATGTGGATGCTTAGCTGTCCGTATCAGAAACTGACACGCCATCCATGTGTTGAACTCCATGCAGGTTGCTTCTCTGTCTCAGGGTTACAGATACAGTAGCTCTCCTATCAGTCCGGCTCCAAGATGTGCCCATATCCTGTGTATTCTAAAAGACACGAAGGCTGTCCTGATTAGATGACCTCCGTACACACCGTGACATCCACAATGTGAAGGAAGGCCTTCTGCTCTGTCTAATCTGACTAACAAAATAACAATGCACATGATGTATAAATAATAAAACCTAACAGGTGTAAGCCGGGTTGGAGGTGTGGACTTTGACCATCAGCTGGTAGACCACGAACTGCGGGTCTGAGGAAAGAACAGCAGAGCGTCACCATCCGGATCCCTTACAGTCTGGAACCTGAGCTGGACTGGAAGCAGGTCTGAGTCTGTGGAATCTGGACTAATCTCTAAGTTTTGAAATTAATCTCAGTCTGAACTGAAAAGCTGGACCTGGAACTCTTCACTGTAAAGAAGTGGCCCGGTTCTGAATATAGGACTTACCGCAGGTCCCGCCTGTAAACATAGTGACTGTGGAAGAGCAGAGCCACGGGTTTGGATCCAGCCGGGTCCTGCGCAGGAAGTTGTAGTAAATGACGTAGCGGCGCTGGCTGGGAAAGGTGAAACCCTTAACACAGATCCGAACAAATGGGTCCAGAATTCAGCCAGAACACAAAAGCCACTGCATTCTAACACATCCAGCAGCTGTTACGGATTAACTGACCTTCTTGTCACCGGTCCGGACCTCTCCGTAGAACTCTAGGGCCTCCTGAGCTTCCTGGAACTTCCCTCGGTGCAGCAAATGGGCATCTGTGAGCGGCCATCTACCGGAAGCGGTGTTCCCGGCATCCTCCACCTCCTGGCTCTGCACCTGGCCTGGGGCAGACTGGAAACACACACTAATATCAGAATGAACATTAATTCTGTTCCACCATTTATCTGGGATTTGGTTACACCAATAAAAACAATGATAAAATAAACAACAATAAATGAAACTAATTAAGTACTTACACTCAGGAGGATGGTCTCATTCTGGCAATCATGACCTGTACAGGCCATGATGAGACCCCAGATGTAGATGTTAACTCCATCCAAACAAGTTCCCCACCCACCGATGGCACCGATGACCTGTACATGGCTGCATTGGCCATATACAGGTCATCAACCACAGATGTAGGTATTAACTCCATCCACACTGGCTACCCACCCACCGGTGGCACCGCTGACCTGTAAAATGAACACACAAGAAACACAGAACTCCACTTAACAACCAAAGAATAAACACTGAAATGTTTTATGAGCAGTCCTACCCTTTTTAGAATTTAGATCAGGCTCCTTTGAAAGGGGCAAGTTTTACCTGAGCGGCCTTGGTGGAAATGCAGCCCCTCTTGACCGCAGTGGTCTCCAGGCCACAGTCCTCCAGCTCAGGGCATTGACCAACTGGAGCAGGGGGCGGAGACTGCTGTACACAATGATTAGTTGAGTGAAAAGATGCTAAATGAAGAAAGATTCATATAGTTAGACAGTTGAAGTTTGGAGGGAAGCAGGGGTGGGCTAACCTTCATTAGCCTTGTCTCATTCATTTTAGGGAGCATCAGGATGAGGTAGTGATGCTGATGCTATTCCAGCGGCCCGGCAGCTCCTGGAGGTGCTGCCATTGGACCATAATTACAATTTTACTTAAGGCAGTTCACATGAAGTCAGATTATGCAAAATAAAAAAAATGTATCAGCACTAAAAATGCACTAAATTCTGTTGGTGCACGTCTAGTGATCTATTTCCCAATAGAACAGGTGTGTCATGTTGGGACCAAGGTTTCTAACCCACATGCAGAACACACGGACTCAGAGGGAAAAGTTCAACAGTTTATTGAAACACAATGATATTAAAGAACTGATTCTTGGGAAACAGATCCAGGACTGGTCACAACTGGGTTCTCTGCAGAGAGGGACAGTTCGGTTAGCTGAGATCCAAATACTGTTGCTTGTTGAGTAATGCAGGTCTGTACCTGTTCAATGATTTAGGCTGAGCGGCTGAGGGAGGGAACCAGGAGAGTCCAGAGGCAGGGCTTGACTTCAGACTTTGCAGTGTTCTGATCTGAGTTACTTTCCAGTTCTCTTCTTGAGAGCGGGCATGCAGTTTGACTTTCCAAGGTTTTTCTGAGATCAGACAGCTGGTCTCAGCTGAGAAACTCTTCCAGAGCTCCAGGGTTCAGTCAGGTTCTTCCTAGGAAGCAGAGAGGACAAAAACAGGTTAGGTTCTGGTTCAGTATTCAGGGGAGTCAGAGAATCAGACAGGTTGGTTGGCTCAGGCTTGCTAACCGTAACTGGCTTAACACTCTGGCACTGGAGTGTAGCTCTGCCACTGCTTACATGCTGGTCTCCTGATGAGCAAACGAGCCGCAGGTGTGGTAGTCAGCTTCAGCTCCAGGAGACCTAGGGCGGCCTCTGCTGGAGAAAGGTGGACAGACCTCCAGATCCCAACAGTACCCCCCCCCCCCCCTCAACGACCGCCTCCTGGCGGTCCAGAAGATGTGGATGGCAGAGACTCACGGTAGTCGTCGATCAAGGAGGGATCCAGGATGGGACCGTAGCCCTCCCAGTCCTGCCAACCGCGGCCCCGGCGACGGTAGTCCACAATCCGGGCGAACGGTGAAGACAGGGTGACCATCAATGTCCCGGGTGGGTGGAGGGGAGTCGGACGGAGGGCACAAAGGGCTGGTCAGAACAGGCTTAATTTGGGAAACATGGAAGGTAGGATGAATGCGGAGTGAAGGTGGCAGGTGCAGGCGAACGGCAGACGGTTTTATGACAGAGGCTATTTTGTATGGACCGATGAACCTGGGGGAGAGTTTGCGGGACATGGATTTTAGTGGGATATCTCATGTCGAGAGCCAAACCTGTTGTCCGGGTGAGTAGGTGGGAGCTGGGCGTCGTTTGCGGTTGGAGAATTTCTTATTTGTTCGGAAGTCCGGTTCAAAGCTGTGATGTGTCTTTCCAGATTCTATGGCAACGGCGGATGTGGTGGTGAACTCATGGAACTGAAATCTCCCTTTCGTCAGCGGGAAATAGTGGTGGCTGGTAACCTAGGGAGACTTGGAAAGGGGACAGACCGGTTGCAGATGACTTGTGTGCATACTCTACCCAGGGGAGAAATTGGCTCCAATCAGTCAGGTTGGTGGATGTTAAGCAGCGGAGAGTGGATTCCAGTTCTTGATTCATTCTTTCAGTTTGTCCATTGGATTGAGGGTGGTAACCTGAGGAGAGTGGTATGTTAGTGTCAAGGGCAGAGCAGAAGTTTTTCCAGACCTGAGCTGTGAACTGGGGGCCTCTGTCAGACAGGATTTCCTGAGGGATGCCATGAAGTAGGAACACGTGTTTAATTAGTAGTTTGAGCCGTTTGAAAGGCAGCAGGGAGCTTCCTGAGGGGAACAAGATGGCAGGTCTTGGAGAAACGGTCAATGATTGTGAGTATAGTTGTCATACCGTTGGTATGACAACTACCAGAAACGACGAGTGATCAGGGCAATGGTTCTGCTTACACCTGGATGGGCTGAGAATTTGGCTGAATGCATCCAATGAATGAGTCGAGATCTGACAAAAGTGGGTACGTACGTTCGATTAGGAGGTCCATTTCCTGGGTCAGGTTCAGAAGCTTGGGCAAGGTTGATCAGGTCGGTGATCTCCCAGGAAACGGCTGCTATGGTACAGCTAGCAGGTAAGACAGAATCAGGTGTTTCAGGCTTGTCAGGTGAGTACAGGCGAGAGAGTCAGGTTTGACATTTTTGGATCCGGGTCTGTAAGAAATGATCAGGTTGAAACAAGAAAAGAATAGAGACCAACGGGACTGACGTGGATTGGACCTTTTGACAGACTGGATATAAGATACATTTTTGTGGTCAGTCCATACCAACACGGGGTGCTCTGCGCCCTCCAGCCAATGCCGCCACTCTTCCAGAGCCAATTTGATAGCCAGGAGTTCTCTATCGCCGACATCGTAGTTTTGCTCAGCTGGTGAAAGCCTGCGAGAGAAGAAGGCGCATGGGTGAGTTTTATGATCAGCGTCGGATTGCTGGGATAACACTGCCCCCACTCCAGAGTCAGATGCATCCACCTCTAGAATGAACTGCTTAGAGGGGTCTGGTTGAATTAGAATGGGTGCACTGGAAAAAAGAGCCTTGAGTTTATTGAATGCGGCCTCAGCCTCAGCAGACCAGTGGAAAGTTCTTTTGACAGATGTCAATGCAGTGAGGGGCTGGGCTGTCTGACTGTAATTCCTGATAAATCTCCTGTAGAAATTTGCAAAACCCAGGAACCTTTGAAGTTGCTTGCGATTCTCGGGGGTAGGCCAGTCCAGAACTGCTTTAATCTTGTCCTCTGATGGCTTCACCTGCCCGCCCTCGAGCACAAATCCTAGAAAGGTGACAGAAGGTTGGTGAAACTCACATTTTTCAGCCTTGACGAAAAGTTTGTTTTCGAGAAGTCTTTGGAGAACCAAACAAACGCGTTTCTTGTGGTCTGACAGATTCTTGGAGTAAATCAGGATGTCATCAATGTAAACAAAAACAAAGATGTTGAGAAAATCTCTCAACACGTTGTTAACCAGGGCTTGGAAACAGGCAGGAGCGTTAGTCAGACCAAAAGGCATAACCAGATATTCAAATTGGCCTAAAGGGGTTTTGATGGCCGTCTTCCACTCATCTCCCTCTCTTATTCTGAGAAGATTGTAGGCATTTCTTAAATCCAACTTGGTAAAAACAGTAGCCCCTTGAACATGTTCAAAAGCAGACGCTAGCAGAGGCAAGGGATACTTGTTTTTAATAGTGATTTGGTTAAGTCCCTTGTAATCTATACATGGTCGGAGAGATCCATCCTTTTTCCAACGAAAAAGAAGCCTGCACCAAGAGGGGATGAGGAAGGCCGAATAATCCCGGCAGCTAGGGACTCATTTATGTATTTCTCCATGGTTTCTCTCTCTGGTTTGGAGATATTAAAAAGTCGACCGCTAGGGAGGGGAGCCCCAGGTAACAGATCAATGGCACAGTCGTATGGTCTGTGAGGAGGAAGAGACAGTGCACTGACCTTGCTGAAGACTGGTGACAGATCGTGGTAGTCAGAAGGTACGGAGGATAAATCAGGTGGATCAGCCTCCAGTCAACTGGCCGGTGACTGAATAGAAGGCGCTGCAGAACGCAGACAGGAGATATGGCAGGAGGCAGACCACGATTCAATATGTTTCTTGGCCCAATTTATGTGAGGGTTGTGTAGCTGTAACCACTCATATCCCAGAACTAGAGATGAACAGGCTGTTGGGATCTGGAGATCTGCCACCTGTCTCCAGCAGAGAGCGCTGTGGGTCTCCTGGGCTGGAGCCTCCAGCACACCTGAGGATCATCAGTCCATCAGGAGACCTCCTACATAAGCAGCTGCCAGACCTGTCTTCGGCGCCGGAGTGTTGACCAGTTTTGGTTAGCGGAACCTGAGCCTCTGTTACTTAGAGAATCTCTGTCTGCTCTAGAGAGTAACTAGATTATAACCAGCCTCTGTCTTCTCTGCCCACAGGAAACCCAGACTGAAGTCTGTAGCTCTGGAGGAGCTTTGCTTGGAAGCCTGCCTGCCTGCCCAAGGAAGCCAAACCGGAAGACAATCGTTCTGAATTCCCCAACCAGCTCTCAAGGGAGAGCTAGAACTTCAACTCAAGGTCTGAACCTCATTAGCCAGAAGCTAGACGCTACTGCTGCTGAGCTCTCTGCTGAACCCACGTTCTCTGGACCCAACCGGTTCCCCCTCTCTATCGATCAGTCATAACCTCATCAAGGTACAAACCAGAATCAAACCCCTGACAAGTCATCACCGCTGCCTGGCTAACCAAACTATCATCTCTGCAGATACTCAGTGAATCCAGTCCCGGACCAATACCACAACCTGCTCATTATTAATCTTGTGTGCATCTTTATGATAAACTGTTAAACTTTTACTCCGTTTCCTGTGGTGTTCTGCATGTGGGTTTAAACACTAGAGACCCATCATGATACAGGCAGATGGAAAAACAAAAAAAGATATTGTCTCTAAGTGTCTGGTTTCCGGAGATCAGAAGTTCAAGTGACTGAGTCTGGTGTGTAACCTGATGTAACTTCTTTCCATCAATGGCTGAAACCAGGTTAGAGTCTATTAAATTCTTCTCACAACCAGAATCAATAAAGGTGGTTAGGTGAGGGTTTGGTCAGAAACAAACAAGGTAGCCGGTAGCAGCAGATGAGGAGACTGTTCAGATTGCAGATGGTCCGCTAGACTCCTCATTTACTCTGGCGGACCCCGGCTTTTACCTTAGCTGGGCAGGTGGAAACAAAATGGCCGGGCTCACCACAATACATGCATAAATTCCCCTTGTATATCCTTTGCCTTTCCTCGGTTGAGAGTCTGGTATGACTGATCTGCATAGGCTCTACATCAGAGGTTTCTGTGGAGGGAGAGACCCCATGAGTCAAAGAAGCAGAAACAGAAGCAGGTTGGTTATGACTCCTAGGTCTGGAATCGGTTTCAGGTGACGCAGAAAAAACAGAAGAGCTGTTAATTACTGGGGCAGGTACAGAAAAAACATGGCTCCTTACTTTAGACCTGGCTCTGGCTCGAAGTCTATTATCCAGACGAATTGTTAGCCTGATTAATTCCTTCAGGGTGGCTGGTTCGTCGATAGTGGCAAGCTCATCCTTAATTTCTTCGTCTAATGCCTTGAAATAAGCGCGCATTCATTCCACCCGGAAGCAGCGGCTTTGAACCGGAAGTCGATCGAGAAATCGGCTACAGTCCCATTTCCTTGTTTTAGGTTTAGCAGAGCTCGAGAATTAATTAATTCTGGGTATCCTGATTGAATACTTGTAAGAATTCTTTAATGAATTGATCAAAGGTGCAAGTGAAACTGGATTCAGAGGGAAATCTGGCTTCAGCCCATTCGAGGGCTCTTCCGGTTAATTGAGATAGAATGAAACTTATTTTCCTTTTGTCATTGGTAAAACTGGACGGCAGGTGTTCAAAAATCTATTTGCATTGGAATAAAAATCCTTTGCACTTACTAGTTATACCAGAGAATTTCTCAGGAAGTGACGGACGGAATTCCGGAAATGACGGAACGGGCTCTGACCTTTGAGGCGGGTTTGGCTCCGGAACCAGAAGTTGTGCTGGCTCCGCTCTGGGAGTAGCATCTCTGAGATAGCCGGCTAATTCCTGTAAAGTCTGATTAGTTTGTTCCAAGCGTGTGTTAAACTCACGGAGGGTGGAGTCGTGGCCTTGGATTTGAGCTCCTTGTTGCTCAATCATCCTCCGGAGTTGGACTGCTGGGTTAGGTTGTGGGCCAGAGTGTTGTCATGTTGGGACAAAGGTTTCTAACCCACATGCAGAACACACGGACACAGAGGGAAAAGTTCAACAGTTTATTGAAACACAATGATATTAAAGAACTGATTCTTGGGAAACAGATCCAGGACTGGTCACAACTGGGTTCTCTGCAGAGAGGGACAGTTCGGTTAGCTGAGATCCAAATACTGTTGCTTGTTGAGTAATGCAGGTCTGTACCTGTTCAGTGATTTAGGCTGAGCGGCTGAGGGAGGGAACCAGGAGAGTCCAGAGGCAGAAGGTAGGCAGAGGCAGGGCTTGACTTCAGACTTTGCAGTGTTCTGATCTGAGTTACTTTCCAGTTCCCTTCTTGAGAGCGGATATGCAGGTTGACTTTCCAAGGTTCTTCTGAGATCAGACAGCTGGTCTCAGCTGAGAAACTCTTCCAGAGCTCCAGGGTTCAGTCAGGTTCTTCCTAGGAAGCAGAGAGGACAAAAACAGGTTAGGTTCTGGTTCAGTTTTCGGGGAGTCAGAGAATCAGACAGGTTGGTTGGCTCAGGCTTGCTAACCGTAACTGGCTTAACACTCTGGCACTGGAGTGTAGCTCTGCCACTGCTTACATGCTGGTCTCCTGATGAGCAAACGAGCCGCAGGTGTGGTAGTCAGCTTCAGCTCCAGGAGACCTAGGGCGCCCTCTGCTGGAGAAAGGTGGACAGACCTCCAGATCCCAACAAGGTGGATATTACCGATAGTGCTGATGGCTCTCATCTGCTGAGGAAGCTGGACTTGGGAGCTCTGGCTCCTGCTGAGCTGCTGCTGCTCTCCTGTGGAAAAAACCCAGCAGCAGATCAGCGGACAGGATGAATGAATGGTAGCCGGCGCGCGCAGATGACGTCATACACGCGCCGCTTTGTTTTTAAAACATATAAATTAAGAATATATAAACGAGAATGTCTGGGGCACAGTGATTCAGCTACATGTTATGAATGCTGGCGTACCATAAATGATACATTATGAACAGTTCAGTTTGTGCTTTCAAGTCGTTGCCCAAAGGAACTAAAGATCGACGTCACGGATTATGAAAAATAACAACCGATCCTCAGCATAGAAATAAACTCATCACCAATCTCCAAACCTGATCGAGTGTATAAGAACACAATAAACAGCTGGGGATTTTTATCTTAGCACAGGTTACCATAATAAACCACAGAAGGTAACTTTGCGGCCTCGTGTCTGTAAAGTTGCAGCCGAAGCGGCGCGTGCGGACGACGGCATACACGCGCCACTTTGTTTTTAAAACATTTAGATAAAAAAATAAAGCGGCGGATGTCCGGGGGTCAGTTATTCGCCTTCATGTTATGAGTGTTGGCTTACCTCTCAACAAGAGGAACGAACTTTGCTGCCTCGTGTCGGTGAAGTTGCCACCGGAATTGATCCGGCGCGCGGATATGACGTCATACACACACCGCTTTGTTTTTAAAATATAAATAAATATAAAACATTTATCCATTTTATTCCTTTTAACAGTTAACATTACTGAAAATTCTTTGGAGGGATTCAGACCTGAAAAAAGAGAACTTAAGAGAACATCAGCTGTAATTTTTTTAAATGTGTTCTGTGACTGTATGCATACTATCTCCAAAATGGAAGACAAAAAATGAATAAAAAAAAATCAGAACTGCTTTACCTGTTCTCTATTGATAAACAACAAATAATATTTCAAGTCATGTAACTGAGAAACGTTACAGCCAAGTCTCTTTTTTTCTAATCATAGTATTTTTAAATCTATGGAACTTTTTTCTAAAAGCAGAGTTAGATAAAAAAAAATATTTAAAGGTTTCAGCTGCCCACACAGCCGGAAAAATAAAGTCCAGCCTTAAAATGAAAAGATGTGCACAGAACCCATCTGGAAAAAGCCGGAGGGTTCCTTGTGCATCACAGAAAATAAACCATTTGCAGTCCCTGCAGGAAAGAAGCACTTGTTAAAGGGTCCTATGACCCTTTTTATTTTTTTAATAGACATGCAACCGAAGCTAGCGTTGTCACTTCCAAAAAATAACTTTAAAGAAATAACTTACAATATTTAAATATTTTAAATATAGAAATATTTACAAATATAGTTAATTTTAGTGAACAGAGGTCGTCCTGTAGAATATAAATATCTGGCTGGCTTTACTGATGTTTTTTTATACCATTGGTTCCAAAGCTTGAAATAATTTTTTTTAACTTGGCTGCATTTGCTGTTTCCCCCCACTACTTTCAAGATACTGCAACACATTCTAGATTGCACGCTGATTGTACCGATAGCACAAAGATTATCTGAGATTTGAAAACATGAAGCTTAAGGTACTGGAGAACCAGATGCAGATCTCCCACCTATTGAAATCCCCCATTTTAACATAGTTATGCTGAATGATCAGCGCTCCATTTATTGAATCAAGCAGCAGGACCAGGGTTAGAAAACAATACTGACAAAAAACAATATTAAACCCCTCTTTAGTGTTTAAACTCCCTCTCCGCCACATGCCTAAAGCTTAGCAATTACATGTTTACTGTTAAAGTGTTGCTAAGTGACCATGAGGTCAGAAACAGGACTACATAACGCAGTACAGCTGCTTCCATATTTGGCAAGCCAGCCACATATTTATATTCTACAGTTCAAGGTACAAGATGAAGTTAGCAGAAGCACTTTGTATTACAGCATCTAGGTCTCTCTCTGTATTCCATCATTTTGGTTTATATTTGTACTAATTTGTGTTGGGATCCAGAGGCTTGCCCACCAGAGGGCGCCGAGGATCGCTTCCTGATGGTTTGTTCTTCTGTTGGGATCTGGGGTGCTGTCTACCTTCCTCCACCAGAGGGCGTACTGGATCTCCTGAAGCTGACTTCACCAGCTGCTTCTCATCTGCTCATCAGGGGACCAGTACTTAAGTGGGCTGTGGACAACAATCCGGTGCCAGAGTGTTAGTCAGTCATGGTACAGCAAACCCTGAGCCAACCACCCTGTCTGAGTCTCTGACTCCCCTGAAACCAGAACCTGAACCTAATCAGTTTTTGTCTTCTCTGTTTCTTAGGAAGAAACCTGACTGAAGCCTGGAACTCTGGAAGAGTTTCTCTGCTGAAATCTGCCTGCCAGCCCTCAGGAGCTCATCTGAAGAATCTAACTGTCTGAACCTGCCTGCCCGCCCTCAACAAGAGGATCGGAAGAAATTCTGGATCAGAACACTGATAAGTCTGAAGTATAACCCTGCCGTTGCTCAGCCCTCAGCCTGCCGTCTGCCTCTGAACCCAAACCTGGAGATCTACAAGCCCCAGCCAAGCCAAGCCTCCTCCGAGCCCTCAGTCTGCCGTCAGCCTCTGAACCCTCCTGGTTCCCCCCTTCTGCCACTCTGCTCAACTTCCTTAACAGTAAACCCAGTCGTGACCAGCCCTGGACCTGATTACCCCCCTGACCTGTTTGTTAATATTCTTCATTAAAACTTAGAACTTTTTCCCAGTCTCTGAGTGTGTTCTGCATATGGGCTAGCATCCAGAAACCCATCATGACAATTTGCTATTTTACACTCAAGCTTTAAACATAAATAAATGCTTTATGAATGGGACAAAATAAAAATCAAGATTTAACATTTCATGCAAATCCATCAGAGCAGCAGTTGTAAGATTTTGTTATTTAACGTGTAAAAATAGCTTAATATTGGGCTTTTTATGCAAGGGAGGCACTTTTACATGGAAAAACACATTTTGAAGTGAGCAAACATCCTCCACAAATGGATTGAGCATCAGAAACAACTCAAGATTGAACAGTCCATGCCACAAAGTTGTGGAGGTTTCAAGATTAATGTCAGACTCTTGGTTTGTTAGTTCCTGTTTTTCTTGGTTATCCATTTGTTGTCCTCTGCTGCCCTCTTGTGTCCTCTTTCCCTAGCTCTGTTTTCTCTTCCGCCCTCACCTGTGTTCAATCCCCTCGTTAGCCCTCTCTTTGTCTCTGTCCCCTTTAAAAGCCTCCCTCTTCAGTTCCTGTTTGCTGGATCCTCATCTAACATCTGCCTGCCTTCCTCGTCTCTCCCTGGCTCCTAGAGTTTTTGGTTTACCCCTGATGTCTCCTTGGTTCTGGTACGTTTGTTATTTTCTGTTGGATTTTGATTCCTTCCCCTTAATAAACCCACTTAAATTCACCTCTGCCTACTGGTCTCTGCATTTGGGTCCTCCAAACAAACACCGCTTCAAGACAATTAAACTATCTGCCATTATTACAATTAAAATGATTCATCTCTTTTAATCCAAAATTGTATTTTAGTTGTAAAAATAGTTTAATCTTGGGATTTTGTTAAGCTGTAAGAAGAAATACAAATTTTGCAAGTCCTAAAGTGTCCTTAAGGGAGCAGCTTTTAGTACGATAATGAGGACAATGTGACCCAACCTCCTTTACAAATTTATAGGGGCAAAAAAACATTTCATCTGCAGCTATAGTGAAGCTGAAAACATTAGAATTTGATGTATCCAGTTAGTACAATACATTAAGGCTGTATTGACCTTAACTGTAAAAACAGCTTGCAAAGAAAAACAGACGATAGGCAGGCAATGGCTCATTAGGGAAGTGGGTCACTCTGACACTGTAGAACTTGTTTTTAGGAAAAAGCTGGATGGGGGGTCGTTAGGCCTTTATAGATGGACTGCATTCATCCAATCTTACATCATTTTCTCTTTTTTTCAAGAAGGCAAGACAAGAAGAAAATGGAGGCTGCATAGTAAGTACAAATATGTTTTGGCTTAAAATTTACACATGCTGATATTAATGGGTGTATTTTCTGTTTTCAGTGCTGCTAACAGGACATACACTATATTGCCAAAAGTATTTGCTCACCTGCCTTGACTCACATATGAGCTTAAGTGACATCCCGTTCCTAATCCATAGGGTTCAATATGACGTCGGTCCACCCTTTGCAGCTAGAACAGCTTCAACTCTTCTGGGAAGGCTGTCCACAAGGTTTAGGAGTGTGTTTATGGGAATTTTTGACCATTCTTCCAGAAGCGCATTTGTGAGGTCGCACACTGATGTTGGACGAGAAGGCCTGGCTCTCAGTCTCCGCTCTAATTCATCCCAAAGGTGTTCTATCGGGTTGAGGTCAGGACTCTGTGCAGGCCAGTCAAGTTCATCCACACCAGACTCTGTCATCCATGTCTTTATGGACCTTGCTTTGTGCACTGGTGCACAGTCATGTTGGAAGAGGAAGGGGCCAGCTCCAAACTGTTCCCACAAAGTTGGGAGCATGGAATTGTCCAAAATGTCTTGGTATGCTGAAGCATTCAGAGTTCCTTTCACTGGAACTAAGGGGCCAAGCCCAGCTCCTGAAAAACAACCCCACACCATAATCCCCCCTCCACCAAACTTTACACTTGGCACAATGCAGTCAGACAAGTACCGTTCTCCTGGCAACCGCCAAACCCAGACCCGTCCATCAGATTGCCAGATGGAGAAGCGCGATTCGTCACTCCAGAGAACGCGTCTCCACTGCTCTAGAGTCCAGTGGCGGCGTGCTTTACACCACCGCATCCGACGCTTTGCATTGCACTTGGTGATGTATGGCTTGGATGCAGCTGCTCGACCATGGAAACCCATTCCATGAAGCTCTCTGCGCACTGTTCTTGAGCTAATCTGAAGGCCACATGAAGTTTGGAGGTCTGTAGTGATTGACTCTGCAGAAAGTTGGCGACCTCTTCGCACTATGCGCTTCAGCATCCGCTGACCCCGCTCCGTCAGTTTACGTGGCCTACCACTTCGTGGCTGAGTTGCTGTCGTTCCCAAACACTTCCATTTTCTTATAATACAGCTGACAGTTGACTGTGGAATATTTAGGAGCGAGGAAATTTCACGACTGGATTTGTTGCACAGGTGGCATCCTATTGCAGTTCCACGCTGGAATTCACTGAGCTCCTGAGAGCGACCCATTCTTTCACAAATGTTTGTAAAAACAGTCTGCATGCCTAGGTGCTTGAATTTATACACCTGTGGCCATGGAAGTGATTGGAACACCTGATTCCAATAATTTGGATGGGTGAGCAAATACTTTTGGCAATATAGTGTACCTTCTGTGCCCTATTTGCAAGAAGACCTGGCCAGCACTTTCACAGCACCTTACAAGAACCTGCATGAAGCACAAACTGCAGGAGATTCCAAGTGCTGTTGCAAAGGCTAAGACAGATGCTCATGAAATCCTGGTTTCAGGACGTGTCTTCACCTTTGACCAGATCCAAAACATCATGAAGACTGCACGTCCATTGCACAAGTATGCAAGACAATTTTCTCAGAACTTTATAGTCATGTATTCAATATGCCAGGAACCCAGACTGTATCTTTTTATTCAATTTCAGCATGATTGAAGAGCTACAGAAGCGTCATATGGTGGTGCGAGACATCCCGTCTGACTTCTACCACAGTGCTGCTGAGCAGCAACCTGTGTTGCATCTGGCTCAGCAACCTTCAGCTCCAGCTGCTGCTGAGCAGAGTGACGGGTCAGAAGGACGTGAAAGCAGCAGCAGTGGAGAGACCTATCAGGAGTAAGGCTATAACATTTTGCAAGATTTTTTTAGCACAGCAACAAAAGTCAAAGCAAAAAAAGCATTCCTCTAATATCTTTTTTCTGCATTGCAGTGAGCCAAATGTTGCTTGGAAAGGCAACAAAAGACGAGAGATGCAGGATAGGGGTCTTAACAACAAGCATTCCAGGGATCACAAATTAATCAGAGACTATGCTAGATATCTCCACATAGACCGGCAGGTTGAGAATTACACCCAAGATGTAAGGGCTTCTTTTAATACTCTTATTGTGAAATTTTGTGGGCTGCGATTCGGCACATCTAAACAGTTCTCTGTTGAACCAATTCAAGATATTAAATGTGTAATTTCTTTTCAGGTGGACAATGTAGCAAGGTATCTCTTCTACATGGACCCCAAGGAACCTTCTCTTCACTTTGTCCTGAACAAAGAGAAGACGCAGCAGTACCTCAGGGACCTGACAGAAGCCGGCCTGATGAAGCAGACGCAGATCAACTATCTGAAAAATCTCAAATGGTTAGTTTGTATTTATATTTATGCTGGTGTATTTTTGAACCTCTGACAATGCCATTGTTATGGATTATTCAAAAGCATGTTGTAATATAAATCAATTTGTTTTCCTTAGATAGAAAACTTTGAATCAATCTGACTGAATGATCTGGTTGAACTGTAAAGTGCCTTGAGATGACATGTGTTTTGAATTGGCGCTATAGAAATAAACTGAATTGAGTTGAATTAAAATTGAAAATTTTTTTCCCCTGTTCAGTTTCCTGAAATTCCACACATATCACACTGACCTGAAGAAGAAAGACCCCGACCTTCATGGCCACTGTGTGGATTTCATTGAGTTCTTGGGTTTGCAACAGGGGACTTGCGCCAAACAAGTGAGCAAGGAGGTCGTAAGGAAGAGGCAGGTTTAACACATACAAGGACGTATAATGAAAATAAATATAAATTCAAAAACCTTTAGTGTCATGTACTCAGCATCGATTGGGAATCAGTGAAATTTCAATGCTACATTCTCCCTTCAACAGCATTTAAAGATTTCTAAAGGAATCATAGCATTTAAAACAACAAAGAAGCTTAAATCCCACTGAGTTTAAAGGCCTGGCAGCAGGGGTTAAAAACTGTTTCACAACCTTCTTTGCTTTCACCTTCCTGAATGAACGCAGTGAGTCATTTCCCTTTCTGGTTTTTAACAGGCATGGAGCTTTATCTACAGCCTCTCAACGTGCTCCAAAAGACTGTCTGGGTGTGCTGGAGTCTGCAAAGAAGGACTTTTTGACTGTCATTTCCAAGGTCTTTCCAGATGAAACCCAACTCAGCCCCCAAGAAATCACATTTGTGGTCTACTACCTTGAGGCCCTGATCACATTGAAACACCTGCAGAGGGTTGGTGTGGTCAAGCACATGACGGTGATTAACAATCATTCATTAAACCTGTGAATTTGTACATTTTTTTTTTTCTAGTTATTTGATTAAAGGCCTAACGATCCCCCATCCTAACAGGTTGAGGAGTGGATCAAAAGAAGAAAGACAGATGACGGACATACTGTGGTTGGAGTGATGGAGCACAAGACAGCTGCTCAGCAAGTGGCCATGTTTGCTTTGGATCAGGAGGAGGAAATGGTAAATAGCAAAAAGATACAGTTGACTGGATTTCACATTGTGCTGGGAGATAAAACTAATGGATCTCTTTTTTCCACCAAAAGTGGTGTGATACCTACTACACGCGCATCCGACCACAGATTTTTAGGTCCAAGAGGTGTGTGGCGGACCAGGATCGTGGCAGGTTTTTCCTCTCTTTGAAAGGGACCCCAATCTACAACCCGTCAAATGATATCCGGAGACTCCATGAAAAGTAAGATGAGAGGATGATATGAAAATCTGTTGGACATTTCATTTCCCTTAGAAACCATGTCAAACTAGCAAACTTACCATTACTTTCTGTTTCTATTTCAGATACGAACTAGAACCTGTCACCAACCAAGAGGCCCGTAGGGTCTACGAGACTGCGATGAAGACAAAGACCGACTCTGAAAGGAACTTGGTTGCAGACTACCTCACGCACTCAAACATCACAGCTGAGAGGCACTACCGGATGAAGCTCCCTGAAAACATTGTGCGTGGCCGGCACCTTATTGATTTTGCTGCAGGTGATTCCAGGTAAGAACATTGCATACTTCCCATGTTTGAAACTATAATGCAGACTGTATTTTATCATAGACCCCTTTATATTAACCCACCGTTCTTCCTTAATCCAGCAGTCAGCCTGACACAAGACCCAAAGGGACATCACCTAAACACAGTTCCATAGAGAGCGCCTACAAAAGAATGATAGCTGAATATCCTGTGACGCTAGATGGAAAGGCCCCTTCCATGGATGTACGGGTGGCCTTCTCTGACAAATTCCAGAGGAAGCTGTATGAGAGATGGCTGAAAGCTCAAATGAAGTTACGAGAACAACATGTGCTCGGTAAGTTTTCCATCTCCATGGCCTTTTTAAATTACTCCTCAATTGATTATTTGCTGTCTGTTTTTTTTATCATTCCACATAACATATGTATATCTATTTTGTTACAGAACACTTCAGTCGACGTCTGCCCAGTGAAGCTCGTGTAGAATCATGGATCAAGACAAGAGGCAGGAAAATCAACGTGCCAAGTGTCTCAGCAGTTCTTGAGAAATGGCAGCCATCAGGAAATGTGGAGGATGCTATTTCTGCACCTTCAGTCAAAAAGTGTGTGAAATCACAAAAGTGAAAAGGCCTGCTCATCACAGACATTGAGGGAAAGAGCAAGGGTGTTGTCACCACCAGAGACTTTAAGAGCGGGGAAGTGGTCTGTGACTACCATGGGAGGGTCGTCAGCGGCGAGGAGGGAAAGCGCATCCATAAAGAAACTTCCCCCCGAAGAGACAGGCTACATGTTTTTCTACAAGAACAAGGGAAATGAGTTTTGCATTGATGCGCACCAAAGACACTGACTGTCACCCAGACTTCCTCACATTTGGACGACACATAAACCACTCCAGAAAAAGATACAACCTCAAACCAAGGCTTTACACAGTGACGACGGATGAGTCAGAGCTGGACGTCATACTTTTCCTGGCCTAAAGAGACATTAAAGTAAATGAGGAACTGTTATTTAACTATGGGGTAAAGAAAAGTTCATTTAGAGGAGAAGGACTTGACTTAAGTTGGCTTTAGATGCATTGCAGGATGGATACCAGCTCTTTTTGCATGTTTTTTCTTTTCATTAAAAGTCATTTTTATTGTATTCATTCTCTTTTCCTGTCAGTTTATATTGAATTGCAAAATTAATCACATGATTTAGACCTAGATAGGACCCACAGCAGACTGTATTTTTGTTGGAAGTGGAGGTCTGAAAGTTTTCAACACAGGATTTTAAATTCACCTCAGAAGGCTCTTTAATCTATCAGAGCAGCAGTTTTAATTTTTTTTTTATTTTAGGTGTAAAAACAGTTTAATCTTGGAACAAGAACCTCCTAGTGGTTATCTAGGCACAAAGTACCACGTAAAACTAACATGTTTACCTGTAAACTATATAAATATTATAGGATGCATTAGAAGCTGCTAAAAGTAAATACATCAGTAAAACCTGAAACTGTCTACTACATAAAACAATTTAAAGAGTATCAAATCTATAGAAGCTTATGCATTATTTAAAGACAATAGATTTCCTTAAATTACAGATTCTATGAATCCTTAAATAGTGCACTGCCCTGTCAACACACCCATGTGGGGCCCATGCAGGCTGGATGTGGGATGGTGAGTGGGCCCCATCTGGGCTGCGCAGCTATATCCCAGTTATTTTTGTCTGGGGGTTCAAGTGGTGGCCCCATGTGGGGCCACCCCTCAGCCCGTGGGTTTCACACGGACCCCATGTAAAGCCTACATGGGCAACCCATTTGATATACAGATATGAGATTTGGTACAGATCATCTTCAGCCTTTTCTAGCACTTGCAATGAAGGATTTGTTTCAATATTATTTATGGTTGACTGTGCAGCTGGAAAGTTTGACAGCATTAAAACTGTCTTTCCATGTAAAAGCCTCAGACTGAAATCTGACAAAACCAATCCCATGTTTAGATCAGTTATTGCCATATTTTATATTCTAGAAATATCAAAGCTGGCATAATTGTTCATGAAAATCTGTGCATTCCTCTCATCTTAAAGTTAGTCCTGTATCTATTGTAATTTTTTTTTAAATCATAGCTCAAACCGCATTTTACACATTCGTCAGATTTGAAGCTAAAGCTGCATATGGGTCCGAGCTGATCATCAGTCAGCAACGTAGAACCTGTCAAATTTGGGTCGTACATGTCTGTGGATGGAGGGATGGAACCATGGATGTTCCATCCATGTTACATAACCCAAGCCCCCAAGCCAACTTTAAGCTTTTCAACACAGTTTGTGATCTTTAATATATTCTTAAACTATGCATTTCTGAAGTCAGTCCTTTCTTACTTTATTAAGTTTCTGCCCAAATATTTTCCATTTCTTCATTTTTTAAGCATCTTATGCAGTTTGTTGTGACTTCAGCTTATGTCGTGAAATTTCTTTCTTGCTTTTTTCACAGTCATGAAAATGTTCTGTTACATCACCTGTTTGAGTGCTTCATCGCTTTATCCAGTTTTATTTAACTTTCTATGCTACACTATGCTTTTTTTGTTTTTTGCTTTTAAAGGCTTGTCAATGTTAAAGATTTTAACAATTATTTTGAACAGCTATTGGTTTTAAAGTAACTTCAATTGTGGTATCAGCTGTTTTGTTTTTACCTCTCTTTCCCCATGTGTCTGCTTTTTATGATCTTTGTGGGTGCTTTGGCTTTTCAAGCTAGTTAAGATTACACTATGTTCTACATGTTTGCCAGGTGACACATTTGGATTTATTTCCAACTGTTATGCTGATTCTTGACATTTTTTTTCTATTTAAGACTTTGCTTCTCATTCAATATCATGTTCTTCAACATTTTTGTCTCTAACTTTAAGCTTCTCATTTTTTTTTTCTTCAACTAGATAAGAATCCAAGTTCTCCATAATAATTCTTCTGCTTTTTCTACTATTTTATTGCAAGTCAGCAGGTGCGGCATGAAGACTTTCTGTTTTCCAGTAATTAGACTATTTACTACATGTTTATCAACTGATACATTATTTGAATTGTTGTATCTAGGAACAAGTTGTCAGTCTGGAAAATAATGTTTTATTCGAATTTGTAAAGGTTGGACTTTTTATGAATTGCAACATTAAACTGACTAAAACTAGACTAAAACCATTTAGAGTTTTGGTCGAGGAAATCCGACTAAAACTATCACATATAGTAATGACTGAAATATGACTAAAAATAGTTTTTGTCCTTACGAATAAGACAAAGACTAAATCTAAGACAGCTGTCAAAAAAACACTGATCCAGTCGATGCTTCTGTGAAGCATCTCCCGTGCGAGTGCCATCTGGTGAAGGAATAAAGTGTTGCAGATATAACACGGATTTAAAAATTACAGAACGCTTTCACCACTTTCAGTTTCAGACACTTGTATTTTTCTCTGATTTTGAGTTGGATGACATTCAAAATTATACTGACATTACTGCAGAACGTAACGATGAGGACTTATAAAGAAAATGCTTGTCTGGTCTGCACCACTGGTCTGTGGGTGTAATGATTATTTCTAGCCACCAGAGGGCATCTAATGATGTGGTAGGGCTCAGATCAGTGGACCGTTCCCCTAACAGGGCGTAGGGTCGGTTTTAAAACTGACCACAAAGCTAAAAGCAAATTTCTATTCCTTATTATTTAAACAAAGTTTTATATTTGCAATACTCTTGCTTATGCTCTTTGTTTAATTATTCTACAAATTAAAAATGATATTGAATTTCTAAAGGATTAAAGAGCCAGTTTTTAGTAACTTCTTATAAAGGGTGAGCTATCACAAAGCCGACTGAAGAAAAGAGCTTGGCTTTCAACACAAGCTGCTTGTCTATCATGTATGTTTAGATATGTTATTGATTTAAACACTAAAGGATTTAAGACATAACTGAGACAAATAACTGATGAATAAATATAAGAAACTGATGAATAAATATAAGAAAATAAGTTGTGCTCATCTTATTCATGCCAACAACATGTCAAGTGTGTTTAGATGACACTTATTTGGATAAGTCCTTGAATGTGAAGATTCAAGGACTCATCTGGGAAGCTGGGTTACAAGATGGTCAGGGGACCCTGGTTCAATATGAATCTGATTTCACACATCTATAGAACAATTTTTTTTAAATTAACCCACAGCTGCAGTTCCCGTCACCATGAACCTGCATCAATGAGAACTTAAAGGGAACAAAATTAAACATCTTTGGTGTCAGTATTCTTGATGTTGTTTATTGTTAATTTAAGCCAAGGACACCTGACTCCTCAAGGAATCTGGCAGGTTGCCACACGAAAACACTAATGTGAGCCAATAAAAGTCTTTGCATCAGCTAACATAAAACCGATTGCTGGTCAACTGGTCAGATCTTCTTTGGTCACCCAGACTGAATAGATCACTGAACTGAGGGCTAAGAAAGGTGCTACTGTTTAAAACAGGTAAGAGATTTCATTGAAAAGATTTAATAGTAATTAGGTGAGTTTTTAATATTTCTTACTATTCATATTTTTCTGTCTGTATTTTTAATCCCCATTTTTGTTTAGAATGGGTTTTAACGGAGCTCCTTAATGAAAAGACGGAGTCTCCATACTTTAAACCCCCTCCACTGCGCCTTGCAGTCTTAAAGACTGAGGAGAAACCCAAAGTGGTTGTTGGGAGTTTGTGGATTCCACTGCAAGGTCAGTGAGCAAAAAAAATAACAAAATTGCTGTTGTGTGTGATGGAGATAATGTTTCAAAGGTGACTTTATTTGAGGGGTTTGCACACAAAATGAAAGAAGACCATTCATATATTATGAGAGGCTAAGACCTCAGGGGACAATCCCCTCCATATGCAATAAATGTCAAAACTCATTTTTTTAAAGCCTCGCCGCTGACCATAGTCCCAGAGCTCTCTGGCCTTGCAGATGGACTCCTTAATCCTCCTTCTCCCAAAACACCACTCAGGGAAACCCTGGGTATGAGTTTCATTTATTTCATTTCAACTCTGATTACTCTTACTTTAATCTCTATTACATTAAGTAATTAAATTAAGGCTGTTGTTACTTTGTACAAACAACCCGATACCTTTTCAGCTCTGCAGTTAAAGGAGTGCTGTCTGGAAGGGATAGAGTTCCACTGAGGAGCATCAAGATAAAGGAGGTACTTCTACTTTCTTATTATTTGCCAATATTAACATTTTAAAATGCTAATTTCTTTGTGGCAACAAGAAGGGGGAAGCTGATCTTAGGTTATCAAGGATAAGGTTTTCCATTCAGGGCCAAGCAGTTTTGTTAGAACATGGGATTTTCAAATCAGTGCACAGATTGTAAAGAGGAATTTTTTTTCTGATACCAGCAACAGAACAATCTCTGCCTCCTTAAAGTATTTAAGTTTATTCAAGTTGAGCTAATTCACATTAAAGATCATATCTGCGCACCGCACAAAATTACTCACATAGTTGTTTCTTTAATTGATCACAAAACGTAATTCTAATAATAAACTAAATAACCTGCATTAAAACCAGACTTCCTCATGATGGTCTGTCTCTAGAGGGAGGTGGCTGTGGCGCAGGAGCTGCACATTGGAGAGAGAGTAACCATAACCCATGTTAGGGTTACAAAGGGTGCATATGGCCAACAGCTCCAGTCATCAAGTTTCACAAATATAGAGGTAGGTCATTTAGAAGTAATTCATGATGTCACCCTTTTCATATGATTGCCAGTACTTAAATATACTTACAAACAGCCCAAACTGGAACTATATAAAATGTTGAAATGATGTTTTCTGTGTACATTGGGTTTGAATGCCTTTTCTGATATTATAGTTATACTGTTTATTTAAATGTAAAAGACT